GTCTGTCTGTCTGTCTGTCTGTCTGTCTGTCTGTCTGTCTGTCTGTCCGTCCGTCCGTCCGTCCGTCCGTCCGTCCGTCCGTCCGTCCGTCCGTCTGTCTGTCTGTCTGTCTGTTTATTTATTTATTTATTTCCCGGATATATTAGTGTGTGGTTGAAAGGGTGAATAAGGTATATTAACCCTTTATAGGGCACTCAATGAAATACTTTAAAATTAAAAAATTCAACCTTAGAGTCTCATTGGACAACATAATAAGACTTTATTCCAATTGTGACATTTTTGAAATTCTTTTATTTTCATGTTGAAAATCGAGTTCAATGAAGTTACCATATTTGGTAACTTGCCCTTTAGTGGTAAAAATGTCAAGGCCAATGAAGTGATCAAATTTGGTCACTTGCCTTTAAGTGGGAAAACAAATTCCAATAAGTATACATAGATAAAAATACATATAATGCAGGTACTGCACTAGCGCCGGGCTGGTGAAAATGTTATCAGCATAGATGGCTGTGGTGGTGGGGAAGGACATGGTACTGGCAAGGACAGATACAATCTGGCTGGTGGCACCTAAGCCTTCTTGTTCAGGTTTCAGGGGAACATCATGGGCCTCCAGGGTAGTCCTGCCCTGGTTTAGCACAATGTCATGGAGGAAGCCATCCTCAGATGCCCTGGCAAACAACTTTAAACCCCACTTGTCTGGCTTGCTTTTGATATATTGCCTCAGGTTGTCAAGTGGCAAAAATCACTCATAATTACTATTCATAAACTAAAAACACAGTGTTGAAATCAGAAGCAGAATCACTGTATAGTGATATAAAAAACTTTTGCGACCTTAAAACATAATATGTTAAGTTGTATTGCTTTATTTGTAAAGAAAATGCATAGTATGTTTTGTTAGATGCATTGGGCATATGTCCAAAAACAGACATTCCAAGTAAAATCTAGTTTTTAGTGAAAAGGGCATATGATCAAATATGGTGCCTGCATTTTTCATGCCGTATTTTCAATAATTTTAATAATTCCTCAGCAAACAACTTGTATGTCAACACTAAACACAACTATTCAACAATAAAATGTATGAGTTTCATCAAGTTCACATGGTTAGTTTTGATGTTTCTTTTGAAAATGTCCAGTGAACCGAGCTGCAAAAGCTCATTTTTCTGACTTTGGAGAAAGTGTCCGCGGTCTCTGCTGATTGGTCAAACTACAAAACAAAGTAACCTATAATGTAGGGTGATCTTTGCTGATTGGCTGGATAAAGATAAAATTATTCTAGAACTCACTGAGACGGGGGGTGGGCGCGAAAACTAACAGGTGCCTCTGACTGCAGCGCTGAGAGGGACTCCTGCTGGAGCGGGAGAACGGGGTTGGGAGGGGGGAGGCGCCCCACGGCAGCAGCTGCCGCTGGAGGACAAGATTATGAACGATACGTGCTTTCACATAAGAGTCTCCAAAAGCCGCCAGTGACACCGGAAAAGTCGCCAGATTTGTCGCTAGTCGCTTTTTCGAAAAAGAGTCGCTGGAGGGGTCTGAAAAGTCGCTAAATATAGCGACAAAGTCGCTGAGTTGGCAACACTGGTCCCCGTCTGTAACCTGTTACCTGTTTGGTAAACCACCAAAAAATAGAATAAAATGAATCGCATTAAATATGCGATTCATTAAATATGCGATTCATTGATATTTACAGACAGTGAGTATCAAAGACAAACAAATAAAGACACGAAAGACAGAAAACACTATTCTAAATCAAACATAGGACAATAAATGACAAAAATAAGGATGTAAGCTTAGAAGAAAATACATTATAGTAGTCTACAACTAGATACAAAACAGCCAAACTGGAGTTGAAGTGACAGATAGTACGTACAAAAAAGTATATCTAAATGGACCATAAAGCCACGTAAGAGCCAAATTAAGACAGACAATGATCAAATTATACATAAATAACACAGAGAAATAACAAAACTTGATTTTAATTCTGTCCTTGTATTTTGAAAAAGAGTATCTTCTTGATTTTGATTATTATATATTATCATGAATGAATATCTTCTGCAGAAAGAAAATAATTTGAGCTGAACCTGCATCTCTAACCTAATACATATCAAAATTCTATAAGGTGACCTACATCTGGATTAATGCTGGATACCCTCTTCAATTTAAACCAGGCATTTGGTGAAATCTTTCCCAAGTTTATGAATTTAAAAAATGAAATGACATGTTCTGCATAATGTGAAGACCTGGTCTGACCAGCAGAGGGCAGCAGAACACCAGCAGAAGACTGTAGACATGGGAGTCTGTAAACATCCTGCACTAAACAGACTTTGACACATCCAAGATATTAAATTCTTGTGTTTTTGTCGAGGATTTTTGTTTTCCTTTTTTACAGCTGGAAACCTTCAGATTTGTTTCTTTCTGTTTACCTAAAGGTTATGTTCAAAACATTTCCTGTGGTAATAGTAAAGCACCAACAGGTGTACCAATGGACATAATAAATGGAAATATGATGTATTGTGTATACAAAGTCTACTTGTTAATCTTTAATCATCAGTTTGATAAACTCTCTTGTAAAAACTGCAGTTTTAAAAGTGGGTGAAGGGACGTGTATTATGTTGAATACATTCTCAAATATTGATTGTAAATGTTGAAATATTGTAGAAAATCTCAGCCAGGCAATCCCTTTATATTTAATTAATGCAACCCATTCTAGTGTACTGAAATGCTTCCCTTGGAATACCTGTAGCTAGTACAATGGCAACAGTTGAAACTAAATGAGATTAAGATTAAATCCCTAACAGGTAAACACTTTTAGATTTTATTCAGGTTCAGCGTCACGGGAGGTGCCCAGATAATCTCTGCTGTAGACTAACTACTGTTTTAAGACACACACTCAATTAACATTCAAAATGTCCTGAGAAAGACATTTGAGCTCAGTGTTTTAGGCACCGCAAATGAACTGAAGTTGATGCTTTTTATATTGTATTGTTTGTTTGAATTTTACACGTATCTGGCCAGAAAGAGTCTTTCATAATAAAATGTCGTTCTCAAATGTTAGCCTGGTAAATCCTTAAACCTCCTGAGGAAACATTGTAAGTGCAAAAAACAATATGTGATGGAAAGGACAGCAACACGTTTAAAAAAAAAACTTTGAAGCAGCACTTGCTTACAGTTACATGTACAACATCTGACAAAAACCTCATTCCGTCTAATTCGCAAACATTTGGCAAAAAGGTGGACATCCCTTTAGAATATTAATTTCGATGAGGATAATACACTTATGTATTATTATAAACATTAAAAAGAGTAAGTTGCTTCTTCAAAGACTGAGTCACTCAATTGAGGGTGCTTGGTGACTCACATGTACAGGCTGCCTGACTGAAGTGACCTTTGACATATAGCCCCTCTGGTGTTGCAATTCTTGCTCAAAACTAACTGGTAATTGGAGAGACATAATGGCCACTACAACAGGAGTTTGCTAAGGTTGGTCTGTTCCTCCTATTTGTAAAAATTAGATTAATTATTATCGCACTTGTTTTATTAGAAGGAGATAATAACTATGTACACATAAGTGTGAACTTGTGTACAGCGATCTGCTCAGTTGGTCAAAGTTTTTGCAAATCTTAAAATATTTTTTTAATCTTGTTCTTATCATCAACCTCGCCAGGATTATACATCTGTATATATGTTTCACAATAAACAATGTGTCCTTGTTCGCTTTTAAAACAAAACTATACAATGTTAAGTGTAAAATTGTGAACATGGGACCAGGCAAGAATCTAGCATTAGGTGTGGTTTTCCCTGAGATGATTAAGACAGTGCCTACTGCTCTGAGGCATAAACCTTGACGCTGACGTAAATACTGTAAATCTCGCGAGACTTCGAGAAGGCGTCGGCCTTTGCGGGGTCTTTTATAAGCTGGGGCACATCCGCGTCCTTTTCGTTCGTCCTCAGTGCAGGATAACGCGGTTATCAACTCCTCGTTCTCGTAAAACTATTCATATTATCCGGACATTTCTTTCTTTAGCACCATTGCTGTCATCCTGTGCAGTACACTGCCTGTAAGAAGAGTCAAGCTACCTTCTGTCAAATTTTAAAGGTAGGTGTATTATTCCATGTCCTTAGCGTGATCTTCCTCTCCTTTGGTAACGCGTTAGGTTAGCTAATCTTAGCAACAGAGCTAGCGTTAAGCTAGGTTTACCGGCAAAGATCACGATCTGTGGCAACCAGGGGGGATGATTTCACTAAACCTTTTTTCCTAGTAGAAGTATTTCTGAATTTGGCGACACGCACGAATCTCATTCTGGGTCTGTTGATTCGAACTTTTAATCAACTTTGTTTCTATAAAACGATTACGTGACTTTAGTACATAACTGTATGATAGATACATAGCTTGTCATAACGATGTCATATCTGCATTTCAACCAAGGTTTCAGTTATGATCTGAGTTTCAGTAACGGTTTGCAAACGTTTTTCTTTATAAAAAACTCTAAATTGAAAAGTCATTATTTGGTTTAAGAGGTATATTGACTAAAGTTTTTTTTTTTTAACTTTGTTAAATATCATTCAAAAATTTCTTTTAAAATATGACGGGAGAGTGGTTTGAAAGAGTGCTATCTCTTGGAATGTGTAAATCAGGCTTAAGGTGGAAAAACGGTCCGAGACAGCAGGAAAAAACTGGAATGTTTGGTTTTACGCAATGAGGTCTTTTTTGTTTATAACAGTGTCATGATGAGGGAGGGTGCTATGAGCTCAACAGTCAATCCTTTTAGAGACATCTGGAGTAATCCTTTCCATTAAGCCAATTAGGAAGAGATGTGGGATGGAGGTGTTTGTTTTATTAGTGTTTACTTTTCAATGACTTTTTTAAAACCAAAGGATATAACTCAAGCAAGCTGTTTGAATCTTGTTTCCTCTCCCCCCTTTTAGGCTTTTCACAGTTATCGTTGCCTCTTACTATGGATGTGATAGTGCGTCGCTGTCCATTCTTGGCTTGTGTGCCCCAAGCCTTCTTCCAGCAGTCCAAAAAGTCTCTTGTGACTTATGCTCAGCGATGTCCCATCATGATGGAACTGGCCGCAAAGCCCATGGCCCCTTCACTGGCTCGGGCCCTCTGCTCTTCATCTTCGCATCAGAAGACCGACAACAAGGCTGCAAGTAATGGTGAGGCTTATGAAAATTAAGCATGTGGCTATGTAATATTGATTAATGCACATATTATTGTAAAGACTTGTTGTTTTACTGTTTGGTATGATTTCCTTTTTTGCAGCCCCTCAACAGGGTGGACAGTCCAAGATGCCTGCTAGCCATCCCATGCCACCTTCGGGCCAGGTGATGGCCTCCAAATGCCCTTTTCTGGCAGCTGAGATGAACCAGAAGAACAGCGGTGTGGTCCGTCAGGTTGCCATGGAGTTCCAGGAGGACGTAGAGGAAGTACGCACTGTCCAGAAAGGTAAGATATGCTGCAAAAGGGCCAACATTTAGACCATTTTCCTGTTTTATGTGTCTCGATTTAAAGGCTGTTTTTATCCTTTATGCTTTTTCAGAAGTTTCCCCTGCCCAGGTGGCCAGTCACGCTAAAGGGGGAGAACAAAGTAACTTGATCAAGACTCTTCTGAAGCAGCGTCCGAAAAGGGTCACCCACTTACTGCAGGACAACTTACCTGGCAGAAGTAAGCACTTCCTCCGGGCTTCTGTATTCAGATGTGAAATACCGTTAGGTTAAATTGTTGAGCGAACTAACTGCAATGATCCCCCAACAGTTTTGTAATTTAGTGGTAACCACTACCTGTTTTTTGTCGGTGTGTTTAGCTGTTGTTTTGCCACACATGAACTGACTTTAGCCTTCTGTTCATGTTGCTCCATCCACCACAGGATTGGAGCAATACTAAGCATATTAAGAAAGTCTCCTTTTCTTTCACAGTGGCCCGCTTCCAGTACGATGAATTTTTTGAGAAGAAGATAGAAGAGAAGAAAAGCGACCACACCTATCGTGTGTTCAAAACAGTGAACCGTCGGGCCACCGAGTTCCCAATGGCTGATGACTTCTCAGGCTCTCTGGAGGAGAAGAGAGAGGTGTCTGTGTGGTGCAGCAACGACTACCTGGGCATGAGTCGACACCCACATGTAGTCCAGTCCATTATGTGAGTTTGGATGTTTAGGCTAAAAATAATCCAGTATGTTGGGTCAGAGTCATTTATGTAATGTGGCAAATATTTTTCTTCGTCCTGCTTCATATGTGGGACCTCAGTTCAAACAAAACAAGCACCATTATGTAATAATCAGAAACAAAGTGACACCTGGGTGTGGTTAGTTAAGGTGTCGTATTCCAGTGTAGGCACTTTATTCCTTTTATTGCTCTTTTTTCCCCCACAAGTTTGAACGTGAACAGTAATCTGTTTCCTCTTAAAACCCAATTCCTTAAAACAAGTTGTTCCACTCCAAGGTGCAAGATGGTTTTTGTCTCCCTAATTTAAGGCTTTCGTCAGGTTGCTAGACAGAATTTTACTAACTTTTGGTGCCTTCTCCTTTTTATCTGATTTTAGGGATACTTTACAAAAGAATGGCTCGGGAGCAGGTGGAACCAGGAATATCTCTGGGACCAGTAAATTTCATGTGGAACTGGAACAGGAGCTTGCTGACCTCCACAATAAGGATGCAGCATTGCTCTTCACCTCCTGCTTCGTTGCCAACGACTCCACCCTCTTCACCCTCGCCAAAATGCTGCCTGGTAAACAAATTGCATTCCTGAAATGTACAAGCAGTTCTACCTTGCCTTGAATTTACTTGGCTCATTCTTACCTATCCTCCCTATTAATGTAACCCAGGTTGTGAGATCTACTCTGATGCGGGAAACCATGCCTCAATGATCCAGGGCATACGGAACAGCGGTGTTAAGAAGTTCATTTTCCGCCACAACGACTTAGCTCACCTCCGAGAGATGCTGCAGAAGGGAGACCCCTCCAAACCCAAGATCGTGGCCTTCGAGACCGTGCACTCCATGGATGGTCAGTTTTAGCTACTTCTTTTTTTCTTTCACGGCATACATGCCAGGGGCTGTGGCCTCAGCCACATAAAAAGCCTAATCTGACCAGAATAACTTGTTTTGTTTTGATATGACCGTTGTGTGTCTTCATAACACAGGCGCTGTGTGTCCACTGGAGGAGATGTGCGACTTGGCCCACGAGTTTGGTGCCATCACCTTTGTGGATGAAGTTCATGCTGTGGGCCTGTATGGCTCTAGAGGAGGGGGCATTGGAGACAGGGACGGCATCATGCACAAAATGGACATCATTTCAGGGACTCTAGGTCAGCATGTAATCTCTACTAAAAACCCCTTTATCATTATGATAGCCCAGAGCGTCATACTGTAACTGTAAAGTCATTTGCATACTTCTTGGACTTTTTAATTAAAAATAATTTTCTTTTACTTTATGCATAAAAAAGGTATTGAAGTTAGTGTGAATCTACTAGCTCTTTATGTTTTGTGTTACACTGAGGACTAAGCCTCTGCTGTGTCACCCAATATCCCAGTCAGCTGAAAGAACCTGGAGCAGCTCTGTTGTTGCTAGGAAACTGTAGGTTCCAACAGCACTCTTATTGAATTACTGTGTTGCTGTCAAGCTGAGCACACCATTATTTCCAACCCAGCTGCTCCAGTTTGTGTCCAGCTGTCATTTCAAGAAGACCCTTTGTTGAGGGTACGGTGTCAGGGGGCTGCATAGTTCACTGATGTTCTTAATGCAAGTCTCTAAATGAAGCCTGTGAATGACCATTCATGCCACTTTGTTTTCCAGGGAAGGCCTTTGGCTGTGTGGGTGGCTACATCGCCAGCACCTCTTCCCTGGTGGACACAGTGCGCTCCTATGCAGCCGGTTTCATCTTCACCACCTCTCTGCCTCCCATGCTGTTGGCTGGAGCCAGGCGGTCCATCCAGATTCTCAAAAGCGAGGAAGGTCGCTCGCTCAGGCTCAAACACCAGCGCAACGTTAAACTGCTTCGACAGATGCTGATGGACGCTGGGCTTCCTGTCGTGCACTGCCCTAGCCACATCATCCCCGTCCGGGTAATTTGTCATTTAACTCATTGCCTTCCCTCATCAAATTTGAGTGACTTATCCATACAAAATATGTCTTTTACTTTGTCCAATCTAATACAGTTTTTGTGTCTCCATTGTTTTAGGTGTCAGACGCTCAGAAAAACTCAGAGGTGTGTGACATCATGATGAATCGCCACAACATCTATGTGCAGGCAATCAACTATCCCACCGTTGCTCGAGGGGATGAGCTTCTGCGCATTGCCCCAACTCCTCACCACACTCCTGAGATGATGAAATACTTTGTTGGTAAGACAACGATGAAGCCACAGTGAAATGTTCCTATTAAAACTGCTTAAGCAAACAGCAGCTTTATATTTCAAATCGCACTGACCTCTTCATTTCCTTCTATCTTCAGAGCGGCTGGTGCTAGCGTGGAAGGAGGTGGGTCTGGAGGTGAAGCCCCACTCATCCGCAGAGTGTACGTTCTGCCAGCAGCCACTGCACTTTGAGCTGATGAGCGAGCGAGAAAAGTCTTACTTTAGTGGCCTCAGCCACCCTATCTCAGCCCGGGCATAACACTAATCAAGCCATCGCTGGCTTGAGACGCCACATATTATTCATTCCTCTGTCACTATCATAATATGTATTAATTGTCTTCAGTAAGTCCTATTATTTGTAATATTTAAGATATTCTATGTTTCAGATGCTCTATAAGCTTAAAATAAACTATGAGAGAGAAAACAAATCTGTTTGTTTCTTTTCTTTAACCTGAATAAATACTGGATTAACCCAGTGATGTGATCAAAGACCTATAAATGAGAAGCCTTAGTTGGCTGCTTCCAAGTTGGCTGCTTCCAGCCAAGTGTGGCTGTTCCAGCAAAAGCTCATCAGACAGGATGTACAAAAGCTGATCCAAGCACCATACTGCAACCTATTTCACACAGGTTTACTGAGCAAACTGAACCAAATGCCTTCAACACAGTGTTTTACTTTTTGAATAAAGATGGAAAAGGGACACATATGTTGAGTTGAGCGGAATAAAAAAATAGGTTGCCATAAACCTGGCTTGGCACAAAATGTCTGAATCTCTTTCTCAATGGCGATCACAGAACGTAATTATATTGACATACTTGTATGCTTGTGACAAAAATGGGACACAAGTAATATACTTTTTTTTATTTCATATAAAATTGCTGCAATTTATAAAGTCTTTCGTCTCTCCCTGCAGCCTCTTTAGCTGGTGACGATATGCTGTGACCTATGTAAATGAGCTGTGTGCATTATGCATCACTTCAGTTGTTTTGATGAGACCTCTCCAGACTAATGCAGAGTTCACCCAGGCACCCAGTGAAATCAGAACCCACTGGCCTACTCTCTTTAGATTCAGGTGCAGATGACATAAATCCAGCCAGATCCAGAGACCCAGATTGTTAAAATAAACAATAGTGAGAATACAGACACCCACTCCCAGAGGCCCACTCATGCCTGTAACTAAAAACACCTGTTGCGGGCTATTTTTTTTCTTCTAATTTCTGAGCATGATGTTTGGACTAAAATATACACCGGTTGATTTCTTTTTAATAAGTTCTCAAGTTGTGAAAAATACAAGCTAAAAAAAGCAGTACTGTTCTTACATAAACAGAACTCTAGAAACAGAAGTTACCAAGCATGTCGCATGTTGCAAATGACGCCCTTGCCTCCTAAAAAAAAAAAAAAATTGAAAATGGAAGTGAAAACGATTTCTCGTTGGGAAGATATGATGTGGCCTTAGATTTGCGTAAATACTTCCACTTCTGCAGTAGACTGCAAGTGAAGTCTGTGACAGACTCAGAAATACAAAACGTGCAAAAGTATACACATGTTAATTTTTTTTATCTTTAATCTGCTCATTACATCTATAAATGTATGTGAAATTGTTTTACAGTTACAAGTGTTACTTCATTATATTTGACAGAAAGCAGTGAGACAGATGATTAAAAACACTGTGGTTATCGAAGACACTAAATTCAAAGAAATGAGGTGAGGTGCCAAAAGAAGAAGTGTGTTCTATTAGTAACAGCCAATCTGCATAGAAATAACAAATAAAGTCAATTTTCTGAGAAAGGTAGCATGGATGGTGACGTTGGTGACTAAAATGTCCACTAAAAATTCAAATAAATCTCACACGGTGTGCACATTTAACCTCATAATGCAGTTTTCATTTAAACAATGCAGGAGTGGATAATTTCGACATCCATCATATCACTTTTACATATTTCTGGACTCACAACTAATGCAATTATCTAGTTGCGAAGCTATTATGAATAGGAATGGAGCAAAAGAGCAATAGATCCTTGTATGTAGACAGCTTGACTCTTTACCAAGTATTACTTAAAATGGCAAACATTCTATTTAGACCACAGAAAAAGAGTTGACTCTTGCCAGAAAGTGGATTTGGGTCACTTCCTTTACAGGCAGTAACGGAGTAAAGAAGATAATGCTGAACAGCACCGAGAAGCTTCTGAACTGTTTGGGTTGAACAGAGAGCCAGGCCCCGGTATCGCTCTATTACCTGACACCATTTCTATTTTTGTATACAGAGCTCGTGACTGAACCCCCTCCCCATATTCATACACACACAGAAATAAACCCAAGTGCATCAGTGTCTGAAAGTCGATGATATAAGTATTCATGTGCCCTTAAGGTAAATCTTACATGACACAGTCAAAGGTGTATTAGAAAAGAGACTAATGGAATAAGCAGAACATACATTGTACACAAATAAAGGGCCATTTTGTGTAGCTAAACTGATGTTTCATTTCAAAAGTTCAGTTCAGTAAAAGCTCGGAACAAGAATTTGAGTTCTGGTGTTTCAGCTGACAGGAGTTTGCTCAGCTCCTTAATCCAGCGTTGCAGTGTTTTCACAAGTTTGTGCGTTTAACCAACCTTCAATGCTTCCGTGTCAATTTTACATTCCTTTTGGCTTTGTGCCTCATTAGAACGGCAGAAACGCTTTGTTCTATTGTGGGAAAGTCTTGTGTGAGTCATTAGAGAGAGAGAGGCGCTTGTTTGCCTCGTGTGGGCTCTGACCTCACAGGCTGCATTTCCACAGCTACTGAATCCCGCGTGGCTGCCAAACTCTCATGGCTCAGACAAAAGCAAGGAGCGATGAAACAGCCAGCTCACAGTGGATGTTTGTTAAAAGACTCCCATGGAAGGGCTGGACGGAGCTGGTTGCTAAAATGCTTAATCGCACTTTACAAACCAGTTAGAAGAAAACAGACATTCAATTAGATGGAAATGTACTGTATGTCACAGTATCATAACCTATTGGACCTGTTAACCTGGCTGAATCACTTCTGTGGACATTTAATTCGAGAAGAAAACAAAATTTACACCAACTGCTCAAATCCAGGGATTTATGTTTGTAAGATGATCGCCATGGTTAATGTTTTTGTTTTTCCTTGTTTGCTAGTTTGCAACTTGGCAATAAACTGTTCATTTTGCAGCTGGTTGGTGAGCTATGAAATGGTATCTGTGCCTAGGGTAAAGCTGTTTTCGCAGACTTAAACCAGCTTATGCTTCACAGGAGATAAGATTTGTTGACCTCTTTTAAAAAGACTAAAAGCTTGCTCGGCAGGACTGAACGATGCTCGCAGTGCCCAGCATCTCACACGGACATATGGGCCATAAATATTACAGAATCTTTAAAGCTATTGCTGTGCACCATTAACTGACTTGAATTTTACTGCTGTTGTTATTTTGGGCCTTGGTTTCATATTTTGATTAGGCCTTGCCTTTCTATAAAAATGTAGGCTTTAATCCTGGCTCATATCCTCAAGTTAATAAGTCAGCACGAGCAGTGATGATGAGGGGAAAATTCTTTGCTACTAATATCAAACATTACATCCAAGCACTAGTCCGGTGACTTTAACCACATAGCTTGTCTGATTGATAAGGAATATCTGATTATCTCTGTCAGACAATCACTCCCTCATGAGACAGAGAGCAATGAGGTGGCTGATGAGAATTGGTCAGCCAGCAACAGGCTTTTATGCCACAGAAGCTAAGCACATGGTTATTCCACACATGCAGCATCAGAACCGCACAATATCATATTCTTATTTTTGTATAAAATATCTGTCAACATCCATGCAACCCTGTGTCTTTGTCTAATACAATATAAGGTGGGCTAAGACTTTTTTGTGTTTCTTTTTATTCTAGAGAATTTTCAAGGATTGATCCTTTCTGCACCTGGGTTTTTGAAAACAATATGTCCCTTATTAGATGCCACTTTGAAATGTAACATGAGATCATTTCATTCCCTCTGTTCTCCTGTCTTCAAAGAATGAAAAGAAACGGAGGAATTGTTTTGCTGAAAGCAGTCCTTGTGCAGACTGGATTCTGCACAGAGAAGCAGAAAGAACAGCTAAAAAAAAGGTCTAAGAAAGATTTTTTTTTTTTTATCTTGCGTTGCTGCTGTGATCGTCTTAAACGGCTTAAAGGTGTGGTTTAAATAGTCGTCGAATAGAAATGGTTGCACAGTTTAGTCTCTTGTCTTTGTCGTCCTTGGCTTTGACCTCATAATCTGCTCTGCTGTTGCCTTCAGGGTCCAGATAACCGCAGGTCCTTGAAGCTAGCCAGGGATGTTACTGTGTATTTTTTCTCTAAAAGTGTATTTTATATTATACTGCTATTTTTATGTTTATTCAAGTGATGCTCTGCATTTCTCAGAGACCAGAGACCAAGCGCCCAAGTCATATTTCCTGTATGTAAAAACATGCTTGGCCAATAAAGCTGATTTTGACACTGTTAAGTATCCACCCTATGACAAGCCTCCACGTAAGAATCCTCAAAATTTGTCAGAGGTAATTTCTCCCATTGTGCAATCGGGATATATTATGCTGTCATTTTCATTTTCTTTTCTTTTTTTCTTTATTTCGTTATGACTGTAACGTCAGCTTTAATTTCCATTACCAAGAAAGAAACACTTTTTCAATTTTAGCTCCAGGTGAAGGCACACACATCAATTACTCTAACTTTTTCTTCACAATGAAATCTGAATCAACACCTCTATATTGTACATCTTAAGACGTATACCAGTACACTGTACTGTGTTGTTTTAATTATTAATCCAGAAATTAACATTCATAAAAACTTCACAGTTCTCCATTCTGAAAAATAAGATGATTGGCTGGTTACTCAACGGATACTGCAAAATTAATACAGTTGAAGATTAAAGAAAGATCCCACGAAACATGTCAGCACTGGTAATGCAGCATAATCAGCCCAAATAACCGGAATGACAAGGGCATGGCCCTTCTCTGGAAATCCACGAGTCTTAACACAGAGCGCGTAGGTTGAGCAGATATGGTGAAACTTCCGTCACTGTAATTCAAATCATTTGAGATTGAATGACTTGTACACCTCTTACAGGGACTTTTTGTCTGTGTATTTCTGCCTAAATGATAATAATTTCTAAATCAGCGTGAAAAGTGATTTTTCATTCATCCGCCTCCTCAAATTTATTGTTCAGTTTATCTGCATGTTGTTAAGGGCCCTCTTCCAGGAAAATATTTACATACTACACAGGCAAACACTTAGACAAGCTTTACTTATGTACTGTAAATCCCCTTATGGCTACAGACTGCTTCCTGTTTGGCTTTCTGGAGGAATAGATAAGAGAAGAATGAAATCCTGATATGCTTCAAAATGATCAACACCTTCACTGCACTGTTGGATAAATGTGGGCAATGATACATCAAA